AAACATGACAATGTACCTTTGGGTATGGAACTACCTAATAATAATAACCCATCTGTAATGTGTTTTTACACATTCTGCTAGATCAGGGGTCGGCAACGTTTGGCACGCGGCTCACCAGGGTAAGCACCCTGGCAGGCCGAGCCAGTTTATTTACCTGCTGACACGGCAGGTTCGGACGATTGCGGCCCCCACTGGCTGCGGTTCGCCGTCCCGGGCCAATGGGGGCGGTGGGAAGCTGTGGCCAGCACATCGCTCGCCCATGCCACTTCTCGCTGCCCCCATTGGCCCGGGACGGCGAACCGCAGCCAGTGGGGGCCGCGATCGGCCGAACCTGCCACGTCAGCAGGTAAATAAACTGGCCCGGCCCACCAGGGTGCTTACCCTGGCGAGCCGCATGCCAAACGTTGCCGACCCCTGTGCTAGATGTACTAAATATGTGGAAAATGTATAAGTAATATGAATAGTAGTGAGTATATCTAGTTATATGTACTGAATCTCTTATCTTTTTACATAAAAGTACGTGGACCTTTTTCAGTTGTAGTTTGAAAGCTCACACCATTATTTGCCTTGGAAAACGGTTAGGATAATGTATGATGAGCAATTATGTCTCCTTATGAAGGCTGTTTGATTACTCCAGTGTTATCTTAATTTGGTTCTACATTAACACAAAACTTGGAGATTTGTTGGCTGCACAGATGCAGAAATCTGACAGAACCTTTGGCTCTGGCTCCAGCAGACCCTTTTATATAGGTTACCAAAGATGAATTGCCAGTTTTCACAATAAGGTTAGGTTAATTATATCACATATATAAAGTATAATAAGTATCTAGAACAGCAGATCTTTACAGTCTTGTACTGCAAATAAGGGATATCTAACAAATCTTTCCCCCTTAGCTTTTGATAACACCTGGGGGAGTGATGGTGTTAAGGAACTGGGGAATCTATTAATTTGTTTTCCCATTTAAAAGAAATCCTTTCTCATAACTATAACCGAGAAAGATGGCAGGGCCCCTGGACAAAGAACAGTGTTCAGCTTGTGTAATTTGAAAAGGGAACGGTGGTGATAGTGTTGTAAGTAGTCAGAAGATAAGGAAATCTTTCCCTGAGAGAGATTTCAAAAATACTCAAAACTTGGCGCAGTCTGGTACATTCCAAAGGTGGGGGGGGGGGAATGCTCTCTAGAAGTATTTGTTAACTTCTAATACCAGTAGCTGATATCTCTGGTAGGCATGATTTATCAGTTTCGAAAGAGAGGGTAAACTCACTCTGACTTCTAATTTCTATCTTTCTGATCTATATGTTGTCAGACCAAACTCACTGTGACGTTGCACTCTATATGATTTTATGAAAATATGCTAATGTAACTGGAATATGCTTCATGCAAAAGGTCTCTTGTAAGGTATCATTACAAAGTTTATAATCTACTGAGTGTGATCATCCTATTTGTATAAATGTAACACTTTTGTATCTGAAACTAAAAATATGAAATAACTCTGAGGGCCTATTGTAATTATGCAAAGTGTGGGCCATTAATGATGGTTTAGAATCTTGATGACTCCCATTAACCAGGACAATTGTCTGCAGATGGCTTTGTTTTACTTGTAAGTCTCCCTGTATACAGTACATGTGTGCTGGCAAGTGGGTAATGAAGGATTCCAGTTCAGGTGACATGATCACATGTTCCTGTAAGACATCTTTAACCTGGTGCTTTTCCATAGAAAAGGTGGGGGTGGGAACCCAGAGAGGGACAAAGGATTCCCACCTTATGCAAAAGAGATATAAGTGGGTGGGAGAGAACAAGAAGAGGCAGCCATCATGAGGAATCCCCTAGCTACCACCTGAGCTGGAACAAGGGCTGTACCAGGGGAAAGGATTGTGCCCAGACTAGGAAGGCGTCCAGTCTGTGAAAGAAACTTATTGAAACATCTCTCAGGGTGAGATTTTATCTGTACTCAATTGTATTACTGTATTAGGCTTAGATTTGCGTGTTTTATTTTATTTCACTTGGTAATTCACTTTGTTCTGTCTGTTACTACTTGGAACCACTTAAATCCTACTTTCTGTATTTAATAAAATCACTTTTTACTTATTAATTAACCCAGAGTATTATTAATGCCGGGGGGGGGGGCGCAAACAGCTGTGCATCTCTCTCTATCAGTGTTATAGGGGGCAAACAATTTATGAGTTTATCTTGTATAAGCTTTATAGAGGGTAAAACGGATTTATTTGGGTTTAGACCCCATTGGGAGTTGGGCATCTGAGCGTTAAAGACAAGAACACTTCTGTAAGCTGCTTTCAGTTAAGTCTGCAGCTTTGGGGCAAGTAATTCAGACCCTGGGTCTGTGTTGGAGCAGATGGGTGTGTCTGGCTCAGCCATACAGGGTGCTGGGGTCCCAAGCTGGCAGGGAAAGCAGGGGCAGAAGTAGTCTTGGCACATCACTTGGCAGTTCCCAAGAGGGGTTCTGTGATCCAACCCCTCACACTCACTATCATGGTATCTTTAACAAGGAGCTTCTATTTTAAGATATGAAGATATTTTAAATTGAGTTAGGCCCTCCAAATGCAATATTTATTTATATCCATGAATAGTTGTAAATACCCTGATGCCATAAGTAACTACCAACATTTTACCTACTTTTTTCTCTTTACTCTTTTATTTGCTTTAAGGCTTTGTTTCTGATGGTTAGGGTGACCAGATAGCAACTGTGAAAAAACAGAACAGGGGGTGGGGGAGTAATAGGCACCTGTAGAGGGGCGGACTCACCCCTGCAACACCTCCTGCTGGTCTTTTCTGGGAATTAGCTCTTCCAGCATCCTGGAGCACACCCTGTAGGCTGGTGATCCGCCTGTCCTCTAGCCCCCGTGTCCCTCCCAGACCCTGGTGCCCTTGTATCTGGGGTGCTGCCCCCTGGCAGTACACCCCTCAGTACTAGGGTCTCCCCTCCCCAGGGAACCCCCACCCACTATCCCTACCTCACCTCAGAATAAGGCCACTGCCAGTCATCAACTAGCCCCCGCTCCCTGGGGCAGACTGCAGTATAGACCACTCATCACAGGCAAGGTTGGGTTTGGACCTGCTGCCTTGGCCTACCCACAGGCTGCCCTCTGCAACCCCCAGTACCCCTTGGCCTCCTACTAGGTCACAGCCTGGGGCTATCCAGGCTGCAGCTCCTCAGCCTGTCCCCAGCCCTGCTCCACTCAGATTCTCTAGCTCACTGCTACCAGGCCCTTCTCTCTCTGAGTGCAGAGAGAGACCACTGAGCTCCTGGCTCCTAGCCTCTTTATAGGGCCAGCTGGGCCTGATTAGGGTGTGGCCCAGGTGCAGCTACTTCCCCAATCAGCCCAGTAGCTTTTCCCTTTGCCCCAGCCCTCTGCCAGGGCTGTTTTAAACCTCTCAGGGCAGGAGCGGATAACCACCCCGCTACAGCACCTATATAAGAAAAAGTCCCAAAAAACGGGACTGTCCCTATAAAGACGGGACATCTGGTAACTCTACTGATGGTGAGATTCAGCATTATTTTATTTTTATGTCTGAAAAGTAAAGACACATTTTCTCTTTTTTGAAAACCGATTCCATCAAAGCACAAACCACTTGGATCTGAAGCTCCTTTCACCTTTCTCCCAATCACTAGACCACAAGTACTTACTCAATTTTTAACTCAGTCATTATGCAGGCAAACTCCCATTGCAAACAGCGAGTAAGGATAGAGGATAAAACTTGAGTGAAAACTGAGTAAGAACCTCAGAGTTTGGCCCACAGATAAGAAACAGCTCTTCTTATGCATTCTTCAATTTTATTTCCATACAGGACCTTTCGTTTATTTATTTTTAGGGACTAATTAAAAAGATGCCAATCCAAAAATTAGGCATTCTAACATTTACTTGTCCTTATAACATCCAACGACAATATGTCATAGTGCTGAGTGTGCATAGCCACACTATTCAGCTTTATTCCAAGTATCTATAAAGTTCTACAGGGCTATTACTAGGGCTGTCAATTAATCACAGTTAACTCAAGCAATTAACTCAAAATAAATTAACTTGATTAAAAAAACCGAATCACCATTTTAATCACATTGTTAAACAATAGAATACCAATTTAAATGTATTATGAATATTTTTCTACATTTTAAAATATTGATTTCAATTACAACACAGAATACAAAGTATACAGTGCTCACTTTATATTATTTTTATTACCAATATTTGCACTGTAAAAAAAGATAAAAGTAGTATTTTTCAATTCACCTCATACAAGTACTGTAATTCAATCTCTTTATCGTGAAAGTGCAACTTACAAATGTATAATTATAATTTTTTTTACATAACTGCACTCAAAAACAAAACACTGTAAAACTTTAGAGCCTACAAGTCCACTCAGTCCTACTTCTTGTGCAACCAATCACTAAGACAAACAAGTTTATTTACATTTACAGAAGATAATGCTACTTATTTACAATGTCAGCTGAAAGTGAGAACAGGCATTCGCATGGCACTGCTGTAGCCAGCATACAAGGTATTTATGTGCCAGATATGCTAAACATTCATATGCCTCTTCATGGCCGCTTCATGCCCCTTCATGCTTCAACTTGTAGATCTT